AACACAGTTCTCTTTAAATATTAAATAAATATAACTTAACCAACCTGTAGTGGTTCTCCATTTTGGAATTCTGATAGAGCAACAAAGGGGGATGAGAAGATTCTCGATGTCGGCCACGTTCTGCCAGCTCTCTGTAGTAGAGTCATAGCACTGTACATGTCGGTTATGTTCGAACATCATACTCGATGCCACGCACCCCTCCTTGCCATCCAAACCACCGCACAAGTAGATCTTATTGTTATGCACACTGCAACCAAACCACATCTTCTCGACGGGCAGCATGATTTGAACCGAACTCCATGAATCAGTAGCTGGGAGGTAAATATCAATATTGAGGCATGGTGCTCCAGTACTGTCACGCCCGCCGATAACAAACACAGCATTTCCTAACACCTGCATCATGTGTAATGCTCTTTCTTTCAGCATGGGTCGAAGCAGTTCCCACTCATTTACTGATGGATCGTATCTCTTCAAGTCATTCTTGCAAAGTAGTTCCTGCCGAGTAAAGCCAATGATTGACCTTCTGGCAGCTACTTGACTACTTCCTCCAGAGAGGTACAATTTGTCTTTGATATGCTACAGCTGCGTGAAGGAAGAGTGGCTCCTCAAGGTGGTGAACATAACTCCATGTATTCGCTGCAGGATCGTAACATTCAAGGGAGTCCAACAGACAACTCTGATTTAGTCCACCAATAACATATAACTTGTTACCAACAGCAGTCATACTGAACCCCATTCGCTTTTCCATCATGGGAGCCACAAACAACCACTCACCAGTCTGGATATTATAACGATGCATCTCCTGTGACAACTGTGAAGACATGGGTGTCTGATAATTACTACCGCCAGCTACATAAAGAAAATTGTCTAGAAAGGTGACACACTGTCCAAACATAGGCTCAGGAAGATCCGTTAACTTACTCCATTCTGATGTGACCGGGTGTAGATACTGTATCTTAGATTGCACATAATAACCAGGTCCTTCTAGCTGTATACCTCCAAGGACTACGAACACCTCTTCATCCAACAAGGTGTCAATTTGGTTCACAGGTGGTCTTTCCAGAATTGGTTGTGCATAGATAGAAGCATTGTACTCCAAGATTTTTGTGAATAACTGTTGACATTTCTTGTACGTACATAAAGATTTAAGTCTGGGGAAACAGCTGGCAAACACATTAGCTGGAATACTAGCAAAGTCTAGCAAACTAAGCAAACTATAACCGTCAGTAGCAATACTCTCACTTGACGAATGGAATTCAATCCAACTGGACACCACATTAAAAAGATCACTCATGGACAACCTAGCAATGTTCCCAGTCAGGAATTCGTGTACTTCATCACAGCTACTGATCTCGACATCAAGGTCTATTGTAACAGATGCTACCCTCTGATTCAAATCTTCTCCATTGCTGTCATTAGTCGCATTACCAGAAATCAAAATCAAACCATCCAAGTCGTCTGAATGGTCAGAATCAATCTCCTTTTCTTGAATGTGGTCTTGGTCCATTTTCAGATCTCAGGAGTTTTTTTTAGTGAGTATCTACAGAAAGAGTATATTTCAACTGATTACTAAACAAATCGTTGGACTGTGATGAGAATATACTGATTACCGGTAGGATCATAGTTGTGCAAAAACTGGGATGGCTAAACGAGTTATAATTCAAAAAGATTTATTTCAATTAGTTTAAGTAGACCACAGACAAGCAACAGTTATTGTTTGTAAAACCAGGGTGGTAATCTTTTTACCACCCGACCTTCTCGCCCAAATTTGTCTGCTCTTTTTTTCTATATTCTTCAATATTTCTGAAAATGAACCCTGTTTTTGGAGTCAACAGACAAAATTTTTACTCAAAAGGTTTGGCTATATTTTCCCAATCTTCTGAAGGAAAGTGCAGACTAAATCAAAGAAAGCTTAGAAAGAACTCCCATGTGCTGAGGGTATTGGAGACACATTAAATATAATTCGAAATATTGATGGAAAAGCTGAAAACTAATTAATGCAAATCAGAAAATTAATATGAACAGATTTGAGTGTAAAACTAATGAGGTCAGCGCAATGTAACAGAAAATCTATGTACCAAGTTTTATTGAAATGTGATTAGAAATAAAAAATTATAAATTATTATGCTAATTAGGGAATTAATATGAACAGATTTTACCCCAAACTAATTAGGTTTGTGCTTTGTCATAGAGCATCTTTGTACTAAGTTTCATTGAAGTGGAATAATTTGTACTTTAATATCAGTCTGAAAGCTCAAAATTTTTTAATTATGCAAATTAGGTAATTAACATGTACAGATTTTAACCCACAACTATCCAGGTCTGTCTATTGTCCTACAGCATCTATGTACAAAAATTCATTGAAATATGATGATTAGTACTTGAGATATCAGTGTGAAAGTTGGAAAATGGTTAATTATGCAATTAGTGATTAATATGCATAATATTTACCAAAACTAATTGGGTCTTTGCATAGTT